CGGGAGGGGAGAGCAGGTGGCTGCAACTATACTCAACTCCAACTTGTCTCTTCTGAATGACGGTAGTGCGACTCGAGTGGACGAACGAATTGGCTCAGCGACAGCTATAGATCTCTCTATAGTTGAAGCTTCCTTGCTATTAGACTGTAAATTTTTTACATACGACGACTCCCTGGGTAGTGACCATTTTCCGATCTGCATTTCTTATGAGTGTGGCGCCCCAACGGCTACTCCCGAGGTGCGCTACAACCTTAGGAAAGCAGACTGGGGGGCATACTCAAGAGCCGTTCGTATAGACACCATTGGAGAAGATATCAACACCAAAATGTCACACATAGAACAAGCCATAATACACGCAGCAGATTTAACAATTCCTAAGACTTCTGCAACTACCCACAGGCCTGGAGTTCCATGGTGGACACCAGACTGCCGACGAGTGGTTTGTGAGCGAAATAGGCGATGCCGTTTATTCAACAGAATTCCATCTATTGAAAACCTCATTGAATATAAAAAAGCTAGAGCTAAGGCTAGGAGGTTTCTCAGGGAGTGCAAGAGAGAGTCTTGGCGGGCATTCGTCTCCACTATTAACAAGGATACCCCTTCCTCTGAGGTATGGTCGGCTATAAACCGGGTCAGATCAAACGGAGGAAGGACTTTTATCCCACAGGTGAGTAGTGGAGGGCGGCTTCTCGACGAACCCCAGGCCATTGCCAACGCCCTAGGCCAGAAGTTCGCAGATGCCAGTAGCTCCACCAATCATGATCCACGCTTCGGCGTGTTCCGTGATCGTGCCGAGCTCGTGCATCTCGACTTCGAGAACGGGGACGAACAAGACTACAACCGAGCATTTTCCCCAGAGGAACTTTCCTTTGCTTTAAAAAGGGCAAGGGCTCTACTCCTGGACCTGACGGTATACGATACGAGATGATTAAGCACCTTGACCAGGGAAACCTGGACAAATTGCTAGAAGTGTTCAATGAGATCTGGACGTCCAGAACGTTTCCAAACTCATGGCACTTTGCCCATGTCGTACCGATCCCAAAGAGGGACAAATGCCCTACCAACACCAACTCATTCCGTCCGATTTCGCTCACAAACTGTCTGTGTAAGGTCATGGAACGTATGATAAAGCGTAGGCTAATGTATTTTTTGGAAAGTAACAACTTATTGAATGATCGACAGTGTGGTTTCCGCCAAGGTAGAAGCACACTAGATCATTTAATAAGTCTTGAAACTGACATCTCAAAAGCTCTTTGCAGTAAAGAAACACTAATTGCAGTATTCCTAGACATAGAAAAAGCTTTCGACATGACATGGCGGACTGGCCTCATGATGAAGCTCCAGGCCTTGGGTCTGAGAGGTAATTTGCCAATTTTCATTAGAAATTTTTTGCAAGACAGAACTTTTTCCGTCAAATTAAAAGGTAACGTTAAGTCAGACACATTTGTCCTAGAAAACGGAGTTCCACAAGGCAGCGTTTTGGGCCCAATATTATTTATCATAATGATTAATGATTTCCTATCACCAGCACCCAGCTTAAGTGACCTCAAATTCTCCTTGTTTGCTGACGATTGCGCAATCTGGCGCTCCTCTCGGGTCGAGAGACTATCTGCACAAAGGGTGCAGGCCGGCCTAAAAGCCGCTGAACAGTGGGCAATACAATGGGGATTTAGGTTTTCAGTTGAGAAGACAGTAGGAGTAGTCTTCACTAAGAAACGTAACATTAATAATCCAGTATTAAAATTAAATGATACTCCTATTAAATTTCAGACTTCAGTAAAATTTCTCGGTGTTCATTTTGACCGGAAATTAACGTGGAAAAACCACATTAACGAACTTGAAAGTAGATGTCTTAAAGTCACAAACATCCTGAAAGTTTTATCAGGTACTACATGGGGAGCCGATAGGAAATCTTTATTAATGGTGTATAAGACCCTGATCAGATCAAAACTTGATTATGGATGCCAGTTGTATGCTTCGGCATGCGACACCACACTCGCAAAGCTGACCAGAATACAGAACCGATGCCTTCGTCTATGTCTGGGTGCTTACAGGTGTACACGTGTAGGAAAACTAGAGGTGGAGGCCCATGTCCCTCCACTCCACATCAGGAGGGACATGTTGACGCTAAGGTACGGGTTGAGTGCGGCTAGGAGGCGCGGCACAGGCCACCCAGGTTGGTGTGCTGTTGCTAAATTCCGTTTCCTGCAGCTGCGTAGGTCCCCGTCCTCGGTTGTCCGCCTCCAGACCTTGTGCCAGGGAGCTGGTATCCACTTTCGAAGACGTTGATAGATACGTTCCACCGTTGTGTCCGCCATGGGAGAACCCCAACTTCCATGTGGAAACATCGTGGCTTCCAGGAGGGAAGAATGACCTACATCCTGAGCTCCTGAAACAACTTTTCTATCAATTTCTAGAAGGATATAGCGCCTATACTCACGTGTACACAGACGGGTCCAGAACTGACGACAACGTTGGAGCCGGTATCTGGAGCAGAGACGGGGAGTGGAGCTCCCGCCTGCCGCGGCATACAACCATATTCACTGCAGAGATGTTTGCAATAAGTAGAGCCATTGACATTGCAATAACAAGCGATGTCAATGATGTTGCTGTCATTTCAGATTCCATGTCAGCTCTTAAAGCAATTCAAGGTGGTGACACTACCAGCAATGAGATACAGGGCAACATTATTAATAAACTACATGAGTGTGCCAAGAATATTGTGCTGATATGGGTGCCTGGGCATTGCAACATTTGGGGCAATGAACAGGCAGACAAACTAACAAAAGCGACTGTGGGTCTCAGGGAGACAACCAATGTACCCTGGAAGCCTCAGTCGTGTCTCTCCTTGGGGAAGACATATACAACAGGGAAGTAGCAACTTGATTGGACGAGGTTAGATCTTCGCAACACCTGGAAGACTAACATAGGAAACTGGCTTTCAGCATACAGAAAGAATAGGAGGGAAGAGGTGGTTCTCGCCAGACTAAGGTTAAATTGTACCCATTTGACCCACCTAAAAGCTTATTTAGACAACTCCTTTCCACCTATCTGTGCCACGTGCAACAAAATTCTTTCCATCCGACACATTCTGACGGAGTGCAGCCAGTACGAACCAGAGCGCCGGCAGCTGGTGACCCTAGCTGCCAAGCGAGGCTTCGTGCTGACTGTACCCAATATATTGCAAGATGATGTTACCATAAGTGACGCTGTAATAATCTTCCTCAAGGAGACCCGTCTTATCGGCATGTTGTGATTGACACACGCATGAACTCTTTTTATATTTATAATATGTATGTAACCATGCCCTAAAGCAAATAAAAATGAATAAAACAAAAATTTAAACATACAACATGAGAGACATACCACAAACCTTCCCATTACATACAACACGCACATATACCAAGTAAAACTGACACCCACCAACACATATTCAAACAAAAAGACACGGGCTACAAGAGACAATAAAAAAAAAAAAAATCAGAGAAACTAGTCACCTGACCGGCCATTTCATCTGGTCTGTCAGTAACTCACTATCATATCACTCACTCATACCATAATTCATCCCAAATAAAACAACAACAAGAAAGAAGAAACCAAAATACCAAGAACAAGAAGAACACAAGAATAACAAGAAAAGAAGAAACAAGAACATCAGATTAGTTGTAGCAAGAAAGAAGACCAAGACTAGAAGAAGAAACCTCAAGAAGAAGAAAGAAGACATCAGCTCCGGCCGAAATAGCCCAAAGGCGAAGTGGCCAGCAATCCCCAATTCAAGTTACAAGGCATCCTTCTGGCAGCAATTTGACATGCAGTATCCCATGCTGCCCCCTCTTGAGACGACGGGATGACTTACTTGTTCCTGTTCTCAGGACCCTGCATTCAGTGCCAGACTCCTGCACGGAGCTTATCAGCTGCAAATGCACCAAACAGTGCATAAGTGTTCATTGTAAATGTAAGAAGTCAAAGCTGGTGTGTACTGCTGCATGTAACTGCAGCACAGCTGACGGAATCTGCAGGAACATTTGACGAGCAATGTATTTCTGTTTTAATATTGATGCTACTTTTCTTTAGTCTGATTTAATTTATTTGTATGTTCGCTTTCATTATTATTCTATAGTGCCTCAGCTTCATTCTTATCTCATATTGTTTTTTTATATCAGCAGTTTCTAGATAAAAGTATAAAAATCATGAAAGTGCCTCCACAGTGTTTTTTGTTGTTGTTTACTTATGTATATGAATACGGTCTCCGCATGATTCAATTTCGAGAGTTTATAATCAGAATATGCTCCAAATAACACAAAGAACTGTTTATTCCAAGGGTATGATTGCTGAGAGTGTATGATAAATGTAAATGAAAGTGTTATATTGTCTCTACCAATCTGTGTCAAAATTTCCCTTTCTGCACGTTAGTCATTTTCAATATATAACTCTAACTCTAAAGCAGTGCAATATTTAGCTTGTCATATTCCAGAAATTAATTCAGCGTACAAAAATCCTCCAGAAAAACTATGACAACTTTGTCTCAAATTTGCCGACCTCTCCTAAAATAAACTGAAATCTCAGAGAACCAGTCTATAGGGGCTATTGTACAATAGGATCTTCAACAACATTAAACTAAGAGCCGGGTCGTGGTTTGTCGCTACTTTCATATTAAGGTTATATATTAAACCGTTTTGGGGTGATCTCTGTGTAGCAAAATAATAGTTAGGAATAAATGGTTTGTGAAATCCAAAAATATAACAACAATATTTTTATCATGCAAGGAGTCGTTTACTAGATCAGTAATATAGTGTATTAAAGTTTCAGTAGATCTTATCTTTCCAATTTTACTCTGACTTTATACAGGTACTGTACATTAAGTGACGGTTTTCATGTTTTTACACAAAACACTGTGGTACGATAACGTCATGAGGGATAAAAAAACTTGTTGGATAATCCTAACATTTTGTGGTGACCAAGTTCCCCACTGTGTTAAAGTGTATCAATTATACCTACAGGTGGGAGAGCCTCAGAGAAAATGTGAAGATTCTATTGGGATTCGAAGATCTTGGAAGGCGAGGGAGGAGGTGCTTGAGGTCCCGGCGATGACTAAGAACTACTACACACACGTCTACGAGAGCAAAGACGTGTCAAAGGTCATGACTCATATGCCCAACTCATTCCAGTCAACGAAGAACGTAAGTGAAATGTTTACAGGTCATATATACTAACTTCTTCAGGTGTGGCAGGCACTGCACTCGACCGCCTACACATTCCCAAATGTAAAATTAGGTTCTCATTTACAGTTTAGTGGATTTGTAGGTATCCAGGGTAAGGAGATAATGGCAGTCTGTAGGGAAATGTACTGAAATATTAAACAAATGAATCAGAAAAGAGGACATAAATGGGGTGGGGCTATATTATAAGCAAAGAAATTAAGATCCTCATTGAAGAAAAAGTAAAATATAAAATGGGCAGAGTATGTAGAAGAACTGCACAACGATAATTATAAATTGGAGTTAAGAAAAGAAGAGGAAATAATGATCAAACTACCAATTCATTATGACTGAGGCAGCTGTGAGCAAGATTGAAAATTATAAAGTTTGTGTGATAAGTCAGCTATCAACAGAATTTACGAAACAAATGAGCAGGAATGGGATAAAACGTGTAACTCTACATACATCAAAGAAGACCTTCCCAGTGATAAACAAAATAAATCAATATTTGTGTTATTAATAAAGAACGCCACAGTGCACTCAGTTTAGAACAATTAGTTTAATAGGTCATGCCTGCAAATCTTATAAAATATAATATTAAGTAGAACAAAATTTAGTACAGACAGCGAGTTATCTGAAGATGAAATGGATTTAGAAGGGAAAGGGACTAGAGAAGCCATATTTAGTTTAAGAATTTTGAGTGAAAGAACTTTAGACGTCCAAAGAAATTTGTAAGCATGCTAAGTTGATTGTGAAAAAAGAACGACTTTGATGAAGTAAAGCCCAAACAACTTGAGACTTGGAAAATATAAACATTAATGGAGAATATATAATGATTAAAAACAAACTTAACTGACAACAGGAGGCTGTAATATTAGTAAATAATGAACTTACTAATTGGTTCAAAGTTAGACAGGGAGTAAGACAAGGCTGTATTCTATCTATACCATTGTGTGATATACTGTACTGTATATTCAGAATTTTTAATGACAGAAGTGCCACTGTAAAGAACAATGAAAACATAAAAATTAAAGTTATATAAAATAAACGCTATGTAGATGATACTGCTCTTATCATGGATAGTGAGGAGGCGTTACAAAAACTTGATAACAGATTAGTGGAAAAAAGTGGAGAATATGGGTTAAGAGTTGACGCTTTAAAGGCGAGAGTAATGATTGTTTCCAAATTAGAAATATATCCTAAGATAAGGATTATGGGAGGCAACAAGCAACAAGTGGACAATTTGGTGTATTTAGGAAGTAACATTAACTGTGGTGCTGAATTTGCAAAATAAATCAACACAAGAATAGGACAAACAAAACAACATTTAATAATCTAAAAGATCTCGTAAAAATGGGCATTAACTTCAATTTGAGAAAAATATTGCTGACAGGCTTTATATATGGTCAGGACTATTGTATGGGTCAGGAGCGTGGACATCTTCAGCAGACACTGTAGAGATGTTAGAAGCCTTTGAAATACGATGTTTTAGGAATATGTTAAAAATAACTTAGACTGGCAGAAAAATAAATAAAGTTGGGCTAAAGTTGGCAAAAACTTCAAGAGAAATGCTTGAAATTTGTAGGATGAGGAAAATTAGTTATTTTAGTCATATAATTACGGATGAGAGAACAGCAGCAGAAATATTAATGGGCAAAATTGAGGGTAGGGGGCCAGGGGGTTGGTGAATAATAGTAAAGAATTGGTTCCCCGCAGAGATGCAAAATCTCGGAGGATTCGTAAAAACAGCCCGAAAATCTTAAGAGTGAACGACTGTGGTCATCAACGATCAGATATGAGAATGGCACTTTTGATTGATTGATTGGTTGAGTGAGAGACGCAATACCTCATTGTTAGTCTGGATTTTATAATATCAATAACAGTGAACATGGGAGTAATGAATATACAGGTAGCTGGTACGAAGATGTACTGTACAAACATCACATGTTTGTCCATCCTCCTTCACAATGGACGAGAAGCTGAGAAGACACCGCAAGTGAAAAGAGGGCCATTATCTGATGGCTTAAAAGACTTTAGCCTTGATAGTGAGGTGGTTCAAGCGTGGGAGTCAGCTATTCTACATCTTCAGATATGCATTCAACTGTAGATGTTAGAACAGGCTTTTTTTTTCTCTCGTGAACGTTCAATAGTATTCTCTTGTTTACTATAGATAGAACATCACTTTCTTGTAGTTATGATTGGATGTACTCGAGTTTTATTCATATGTTGTCTGGAGATGAGACACTGACTGACCTAGAGTAACAAAAATAGCACATAGTAGAAAGACTAAGCTTATATGGTGTAATGAATTCTCCATCAGGAGCTGTACAACACCTTCAGCGCATGGGAGAAGTATCATCATCTCTGGCGGGTCGACAAGGAGTTGGCCATCAGGGAATTCATTAGCAGTGGCCCGACGCTGCAAGACTACGATAAGACACTCAAGAGCTACGTTGACCTGGATAAACAGATCAGTAGTGAACTCAGTTGCTACCGTGTGGGTGCACTAGCCGTCAATACTGGTGAGAGGTCAACTTGAAGGATGCTGTGCTAGACCCAACGTATATTTGGGGGCATTATTTCCGGACACTTGCTAATATGTAGCCTCTACTCGTGGGTCGTGTAATTATGTAATTAGTCTACAGTTAACAAACTCTGATTTTTCACAACAAATTGTGTTTGATTAACGACATGAAAAAAAAATTCCAGGGAAATTTGCTCTCAAGTGTACCATGTTTCTTTGATATGATACACTTGACCAATTGTTACAGAACCGTTTTCTCTTGTACACCATTTATCATCAATACGTGTAAAACGAACCTGCTTTAAAAATAATATTCTTGACAAATTTGATTATATCCATTGTTGTAATTTTAAGATACAATGCAAATCTCGATTTATCTTCAGCTGCAATCACACATAATTATTTTATTGCGTCTTTATTTTGTTATTGTCCACTGAGAAGGAAATTGTCAGAACATTATTTATTTATTTTTTACCATTTCCATGTCCATTGTCTTTTCTTTACAAGATATGCTCAATGCTCATTCCCAGACATCCTCAAGAAAGCTCTCAAAATCGAGGCGGGGTTGTGGGTGACCAAGTACGGGGAGGGGCTGAAGACCACTTACATGAAGGAGATGGAGAGGCTTTTCGCCCAGCTGACGGAACTCTCACGCCGCCTCGAGCGACCTCTCAAGGATCTCGATGATATTAAGGGCGCCATCGACATCCTCCGCAAGACTCGTGACCTAGAACTAGACATGGATGATGCCATCGACCCTATCGAGGCAAGTTGTTCATTCATTTATTGGTGGAACACAGTAGCTGACGCTAATTATGTCAGGGTTGGAAATTGTAAATATATTACTCGGTAAAAGAAGGCTGTATGAATGATAAGGTTAGTGTGAGGTATTCAGGCGAGTAACTCCTTAGGGTGACACTGGTGGTTATACTAGAGAGTAGGTCACCCTAGACTTAAGGCCCGTTTCCACTTAAGAGCGAACACTCGATAGTTACTGTCGATATTTCTCTCATCTGTGTATCCACATGAGAGCAAACTTATGCGAGAGTCTTCCCGACAGTAGCTGTTGGAGAGATCTCTCAGTGGTGTGTCAGTCATTCGATAGCAATGGGTGGTAGAGGACGTAACAGAAAGTTGCTTCAGCAGTAATAGTTATGGTGATATTGGAGAAGAAAAGCAAAATCAGAAAAGAAGGTGTTGGATAAAGCACTGGGTGGAACGACGAGGTGAACTGGGAGCTAACAATAGGCTTGTGAAAGAATTACAGATAGAAGATGCTCAATAGTTCCGTAATTTGACCTGCATGTCAGCAGTTCAGGTGGAAGAGTTGGTGAAATTGGTTGGATCATTAATTTTCAAGAGAGACACACGAATGAGGGAAGCCATTTCTGTTCAAGAGCGAGTTATGGTGACGCTTCGGGTTTTGGCATCAGGTAAGTAAACAACAAAAATACACCCAAACGTCCTGTCCAATGCCAATAATTAGTATTGATGTTCAAGTGCTTAGTTCAAATAACCTACACTTGTTGCATCAATGAATATGCTGTAAATTCATCGTCAATAATGTGATAACCATCTATAGTTAATTAGAAGTGAAATACTCCCAGGAAACGGATAATATCTACCATATCCATCTGTTGACCTTGAACATGACTTTTCAGAGGGAAACGCTTGACGTTTGAATTAGACCTATTAATAAATTGATGAAATTGTATTCAAATCCAATTTACGCATTGAATTAAATGAAAATTTGAAGGTCGTTAAGTAGCTGGTTTACATTTATATAAGGATATCAACTGAAAAGTCTCCTGAGTCCAGAGCGCCAAGCTTCACCTCTCGAGGGCACTGTCAGACTGTGGATCTGGTCCGTATAGCTGAGAGTTGACGTGACAGTTGTGGGCTACCATGTGTCCACACGATAGCAAACTAGCAGAGAGTAGCTGTCCTAAAGTAAACTCAAACTATCTGACAGTTACTCTCAGAGTCATGTCCACTTGATAGTATCGTTGTCGACAGCACTTTACTCTCGAGTGAACACGGGCCCTTAGATAAAGTTAAAGTAGTGGAGTGTGTGTGGTCATAATTATTTACTACAGTGTTAATTATAATACCATCTTATAAGGCGGTGTTTAGTATAAGGAAGCCTGTAGTAAAACTTTTATCTTGCAGGAATCATTTGGTCTGCTGGTGAAGTACGAGCTGGGGCTGACACAAGAGGAGGCAGAGAAAGTGGACAACTTGCGCTTCACCTGGCAGAAGGTGTTGGCACAAGCCGTCGAAGTCCAGAACCTCTTGTCTCGTGTTCAACCCTACTTCAGGTCAGTCGAACTGCTCTGTATTCAGTAAATTCCTAAGTTCATAATTTTAGAACTCGGTGAGAAACTTTCAATGTTTTAAATAATTTTTATCAGATATCTTGTCACATATTTTTAAAACCGTAAAACTTATGCATTTTGACAGACATGTAATATACTGTATCCAGGAACGAGCTGATTCACAACGTGGCGCAATTCAAGAAGGACTGCAACAAGTTTGTGCACGACTACCGCGCTACTGGTCCAATGGTACCCGGTCTAGATCCTCGCGACGCCTCTGACAGGCTTATCATCTCTCAGGTATGTTGCTTCACATTTCCGTCTTGTTCTTATTGTGTGCTGGTGGCGACAAGAACCACACGCTTTTCTACAGTCATATGCAGGTGCTCTATGGAAAAATGCTAAAGAATATATTAAGTAAGGAAGTGGCTACAGCCTGGTGGCTGTAACATGCTGATGTACTCAGCAATCGTACGCTTGGCTAATTCACCATAGGTGTGTATCACTTATCATGAAATTTTATTATTTTTTTCAAATTTTCTAGAATCTCTTTTCCACAAGTGAACACAATTGCTTTCTGATATTTTTCAACTGAATTCTCAATATCTTGCCATGTATCAAACTTTGCACCTTTGGATAAGTTATCCATAGTACTGTAATATATACACAAATAAACCACTGGAGCAAGATATTTCGTGTATCACGGCTTCAGGCAAATAAGTACAAAGTATTTTATATATAATATCCAACTCATAAGCCAAAGGTCGCAAGGTTATCTGATCTGACCACCCCGAGGAACATGAGGTAACATGGGGAAATATGTTTGACAAGGACATGATGTTTATATGTGAATTTAACAGAGATACTTGGCTGGTAGGAGAGGTCAAGAGTTAGGTCTAAGGTGCGACCCTATGATCCGATCCTGTGGCTTGACTTGATGTCTGTAGATAAGGATGGCGGGCTGTTGCTTGTTGCAGGGTGATTTGATTTTGCCGCTACAGCGGCTACTTTATTGTGCACCCCACACTCATCGTGTGAGCGGTAGCGCAAAAGGATTACAGAGTAGGGTTTACAAAGGGTCATAATAATTAACCCCCGTTGTCAGGATATTATGGCACTGAATGTTACACAGTATTTCATTTACATTATTTGTTTAGTTCTATACATAAAGGGTAACTTATTCACAAATGCGTGAGTACGGGCGTGTGAGGCAGTATGTCTGGCCGCACACTTTGTTATTCACATTTGCGTGAGAGGTATTCAAGCACATTGCGTATTTGGTTCTGTACATGAGAATTGATACAGTTACTAAGTGCAAAAAAGTGGATACAATCTTAATATGTCGGCTATCTTGCCATTAGAGATGAAGTGTTGTGCCATTTCACACATTGCTTGGACCTGTCCTCCTAAAGGTTCTATCTTCACACAGTCGAGGACGTAGTGTTCAAGTGTGTGGCCATATGTTGGCCACACACTTTTATTAGTTTTGTTTACATCTGCTTGGGAACATACTGCAAAGGTACTTATATCTAACCTTAATCTAGCGGTTACATCTTGTAATCTAGTGATCTTGTTACTTGCTCCATATACATGTTTCACTTGATACATCTCATCATGGTAACCTATGGATCGACTAGTGCCTGTTTGCACTTGTACTTGCGTCAAACTCATCAATAAGTTCTTTCCTAATTACAGTTTAAGGGTTCTTTTTGACGACCCAAATTGTATTCAACAGTGTCTTTGTTAGACGCGAGTTTGGCGAGGGCATCAACTCTGTCATGTTTTATGAGGCCTATGTGAGGAGGGATCCACAACAGTTTGACCTTGACCACGGTCAACAAGGCGCATATTGTGTCTGGCCTCAGAGACAAGAGTGTGACAACCTGAGTCGGTACCAAGGGCAAGTAGTGAGGATAGAGAGTCAGTGATGATGAGACTGTCAGTAACAGTGGTTTCAATGAATTTAATAGCTGTGAGTATGGCAACTAATTCAGTTTGTAGAGTGGATGCCCAGTTGTTAATTCTAACTCCTTTCTCAATTATATTACCGTCAGGTTGAGTCACAACAATAGCACTTCCAGCCCTCCACAGGCGGTGTTAAGAGATCCATCAGTGTAGATGGTCTGTGTGATATTATCATCAGTCTGTAGAGTGTGTATGTGTTCAAGAGCTCTCAATTTGGCAGTGTGTTGGAGATAAATGCTTTGTATAATTAATTTTAGGCGGATACGTCGGTATTGTGATATCGAAGGGAACTGTCCGCCAGGGTTGCAGGAAGCGCTGTTGTGTCTCAACTTTGTACAGGTGGTCTAGTCAAACATCTTCAATGTGTGCGCTGTAGTTTGGATCCTTTAGACTCAGTAGTCCCATGGTTCATACATTCTAGCAATTTTAAGGAAGCAATGTTATCAGGATCACCACGCAGAAGCCTCAGGGCTATCATGAGGTTGACTTCATATTCTATCTTTAACACTGGGTATACCTAGTTCTTTCCTCATATTAGAGTACTTTAGTGCTCATGGGACATCTAGGATAATTCTGGGGCTTTATTTGCATTTCTCAGGCTTGTCAACGCCTTTCCCGTCACGAATGACCAGGGGCTGGTGCGTGGTAATCTATCAGAGATCTTATATAGCCTAGGT